CTAATTGGAAAGAATTTAGTTCAAATTGCATCTCTTATACGGCTTGCATGCGTCAATCTACGTCGCTGAATTTTCCCGGGGATCGCGAAAACCATTAAATTGATTTAATGATAACTGAAAAATTCTCATGTAGGATAACTTCACACACAATCATATAATCATTTTAATGTTACCAATTTACCGTCGGAAACATAAAAAACAGTGTTTGTTTTATACGAAGAGTTGCAGGTGAGGGAACTGGTCATCGATTTCTTTTAAGCATGTTTTTAATTTAAATTTGTTGAATGTTTCGTGAACGGAACAGAACATGACCAATGGCATTTACCATTGTCAAGATTGAGTTAACATGGCTCCTAGTCTATATAAATGTATGTGTTAATTAATTGGAAGTACGTGTAGTACAATTACTATTACAATCGGAACACCTCGGGCGAATTCGAACTTGACGGAGATTGCCGAGTTGTTACGATTGTTACTATTAATGAATTGTTCGGAGACATTCGGAAGCTTCTAAAAACATTCCAAGAACTAATGTTGCATGAAATTAATTATGTTTAATAAATGTCAAAAAAAAACAACTAATATATACAAGCTTACGTTGCTATAGTTACAATGTATAGGCACCTAATGTTTTTATAATGATTATACGATTAACCGATTTTCTATGTCAAAAATAAATTGTACAAAAAAAAGAAGTTAACATTGACGTAATTTGCCTTAAAAGTACACTTTTTGATTACATAGGTTTTTTACGTTTTAATTTAATTACATGGTACAAAATGTTCAAAAAGAACACGCACTAGAATTAAATGTCTTAAGAAGAAGGAAATTAACTCTAATGTACCATTAAATCCACAATATAAGTACATTTGTAATTAAATCTATATTTGTTTAAGAAATGTGTCGTTTATTTTCAAAATTGTTGAATTATCGCAGAAATAAGATACTTAATACCATTGAATATATAAGATTCCCGCCATTAATTAACACATACGTTTGTTTTCGGTTCCTTTATAAAACAACCTAAGTTCAAACAACCTTTCAATTTACTTTACATTTTAAATAATATATATAAAAATAAAGTTCAACCTCTTCCCCTCCAACTTAGATCATTAGTTTTGTTAATTATTTTTTGAAAAGATTATATTGTTTGTTTACGTCTAGTACTGCTTCTGAATTGATGATGGTATATGTCCACATGTTTTTTACATATAAACTTTTGAATTGAAATTCCATTGAATTGAAATTCAATAGAATTGAATTGAGTAGAATTAAATTTAGTAAATAGGTAAAGAATAAAACATAAACAGGGATATCGATTTCACTTCATACAGTCATGTTTAAATCATTTCCAAAGCCTCTGATACAGTTTATTGATACAATTCTCCTTAAAGAGTTTAGTTTTTTTCTGGACAATGTTACAGCGAAATAAATTACAAGAAGATATGATTAATATCTTTTTATGTTCTTTTTAATTGACAATTAAATGCAAATATTTCATTTGGTTTAAACAATATTTCATTTCAATCAAATATATATACACAATATAATTACAATCAAATGCAAAACAAAGGATTGAGTAGAAAGCTAGAAGCTTTTTTAGAAACTCTCTCCTTATAATATTTCATTTCTTGTTTCCTGTACATGTAACAGTAATGGTGAGTGGAAGAAAAGAAAGCGCATTTTTTAGATTTTTATTTAAAATTTGTTCTGTAGTTTTATATTATTTTAACTTTTGTTTGTTTTTCTGAATATTTATATTTCATCATTTATTCACATGTATATAAAATTAGATTTTGTTTCGAAAACATATCGATAGTAAAAATGCACGCAAATCAAGTGATACATTCGATCTCATAACTGGCTCGTGACATGGGGTATTCAAAACCCTTTTCTTTCGACGGAAGGAAAATGTTTAATGTATCAATCAATGAAACCATTTGAGCAATCACTTAATTTTTTTTCGGAAGCGCTTCCATAGATGTTTAAACTTGAAGCATAATCTAGTATAGTAACGTAATCCAGAAAAGGGCAAACTACTTGTTTTGATGCGGCGTGTTCAATCCCCCCCCCCCCCCCCCGAATTTCATAGCACCAACATTGATCACGTCTGAACTGAAGATTCCTTGTCACTTGTATCAGCCTATAATCACGTGACTCGATTATTTTTCTCATAAACCAGTCGTTTTTATTGGTTAAAAGTGGCGTCTTACACAACCACGCCACACCCATCTTAAATAATATATTAATATATTTAAATCTAAACTATGATTCATATTGCACAACTTTTATTCATTTCATGTCAACAATCACATACAACAATTTTATATACAAATTACTTATATATTCACAAAATTCCATCACATGCATATTACATTACACTATATTATGCGAACTGAGGTCTTAAAACACGGAAATGTCAATCATTGATACAATTTGTTACAAATTGTATTATATATCATTATACATACGCGTAAAATGATATTTTAACATGACCACTTGGCACGAAGTCACAGAAGTGTCATGTTTTAATGTACATGTACTAAGATACATATTTATGCCGATTTAGTCAGATCAAAGTAAATCTTTGGTTCAAACAAATTGGAACACAAGCTTTTTTTAACCCAATTCTCTTGTCAAATGAATTATTTAAAACAGGTAAAAACCCGAAAAAAAATCGGAACAAAGATTTTCGTAAAAAACGCGATTTAAATGTTGCGTTTATTGCGATTTTAAATAAGATACATTGATACATGTTGATAGCAAAAAAAAATTTAAAAAAACCTTGTGTTGCAATTTGTTTGACGTCAGGCTCATAACTTTAGTGGCCTAATTGTAAAATGATTAGCAAAGTTAAATAATTATGATAAACCAAACACATTTATATTAAAAATTAAATTCGTCAAGAACGGCTACCCATTCGACCTTTTTAATGTTATAAATGCTCACTAATAAACACTAACCAATTTAGTGTTTGAAATTATTCTTTTATAAAAGACTGAAAAAAATTTTAGCCCATTTATTAAAGTAAATGCGTTATGATTCGTTTGAAATACTGCAATTCCTTTAGACACAAAATAATTTTAAACATTGAACATTATTTAAACGGTTTAAAAGAAAGAAGATTGAAAATAATGCTAAACCAGGCTTTCGGAGTATTAACTTTCATAGGTATGAAGGACAGCTGTTTACAAACAGATATTCAATGACAGTCACTCCGTAACCGTTAAATTATGCGGTTAAACGTTCACCTTTTAAACGAAAACATTTTAAATTACAAGCTTCTGTTAAGTAAACACTAGTAAAATCAAATGACGCATCAAAAAAGAAAACAAAATCATTGGACTTTTACAATAGTCCGACAATGAAAAAGAAAATGAGGTGAAAATACATCTTAAAGCTGCTCATCTCCAGATAATAAACTACCATTTAAAAAATTAAAAAAAATTAACTTAAGGGAAATATATTAAAAGCTTAAAAATGTAAAATTAATGATAATAAATGTTCAGAATTCACTTTAATTGTTTTTATACTTAATACAAATAAAGCAGGAAAGTACTATTTTGTCGTTATATTCCTAACACGATGAAAGGGTAATTTCTATATAATTATTATTTTTGTAAAAAAAATACTTATAATAATAATAATAATAATAATAATAATAATAATAATAATAATAATAATAATAATAATAATAATAATAATAATAATAATAATGAACATGAATTTGGAGGTAAGCTCTTTGTAAGTGTTAATTTAATATACCAGACAACAGTGTTTAACACTTAACGACGCTAAATATTATAGATGGACTTGTCCATTCATGTTTATTCTGGACAAAGCCATTCATTCATTACTTTGAGGGAACATTTTGAAAACATGAACTCATTAAATAACAAACAGTACAGACCATGCTCAGCCGGCACGGATGTGGCAACTACAACTAATCTTGATCTGCAATGGTCACATGGGTAGATCTGTTTGTCTGGCATTTAATTTTATACTTTTATAGCATATATTAAACATAAGCAACGAAAGTTGTTTTTGTCTAATAAATCGAATGTTTGATTATTTTCATCACGTCACATTATTAATAAAAAAAAGAATTAAATTCACACAATAAAGTTGTGATCATAAATTCGAACCATCTAGTTTATCCCATCGGTAAATTCGAAAAGATCTCATCATTGTGACGGTAAATTCGAATTGATTTTTTTACTGTGACGGTAAAGTCGAATTTATCTCATTACTGTGGTGGTGACATATAACTTATCAATTTACAAACTAACAATTAAAAATATTCTTATAACATTATGCTTGCGTTATATGAACTGGGTGTAATAAAGAAAATGTAATATTACATTTGAAACAAGAAACAATGTGAGATAAATATTCATTCAAAATTAATATAACACCGTTTAAACACACTAGTCGGAAATACTGTCAGATGAGGCTTTTGGACAAACAGACTGATCAAAGCATAAAGTTATTTAAAGGCACATCACAGCTTTTTGATAAAAACCTGAATTTTAAGATTAGAAAAAGTACATACGTTCCTTAACGTCAACTTGCAATGCGACCATGTGTGTTCCAACGGCAGCCTAGTATCTATTCATAATAGATCAATTAATAACAAATTTATAGAGAGAATAGATAAAGTAGAGAAAAAGCCTAAATTAGGCCAAGTTTGCTCAGAAAACAAAATCATATATTTTCACACAAAAATGTATCCCATAGGATAATATTCCTATACAATCAATACATATATCATATATGAAATGTAAACGACATCATGAACACATCCGGGCGTCTTGACATCTTTGATTTATAACGTGTATTTATCTCAAGGATTACATCCTTACCGAGGAGTTTACAGCGTTTTGCTAAACCTTCGTTAAGCAATTAACAAATGAAATTGACTTCAAGAATGTATAAGCATTACAGTTAAACAGACAACAATTTATTAAATGTCAGCCCGGACATGTATTCTACGAATATCAATTAACTATATATATATAATATCTTCCAATTTTTACTTAGAATTTTCTTGTTTGTTTTGTTGTTGTTGACATGTTTTTTACTGACCTACTGATGACCTGTTATGTAACATGAGCCGTTATGTATTTAAGTAAAAGATACAGTATAAATAGAAAATACATTCCGGTAAACATCTTTTATATTCACAACAAATGACCAGATAATTGGCATCATCTAAAATAAATATGTACAACATTTTGTCTTTTGATTGTCGTTCAGAAATGAATATTTATGTTCATCTACATATCTGTGAATAATTGTTTGATAGAAACAGAGGATCTCGAAACAAAGACGCCCCCAATCTCACAGATCTGCTGTCACTTCCGCTCCCATGGCCGGAAGCGGTGTCATGATATAATATTGGCACGCGCACCATCCGGTGCGCAGCAGTGTGCGCCATATTGGCCGCTTCAAGTTCTGCAGCCAGCTGGCGTTTCCATTTGTTTCGGCGGTTTTGAAACCAGATTTTTACTTGAGTTTCTGTAAGTTGTAACGAAGCTGCAAGGCCAGCTCGTTCCGAACTTGACAAATATCTTTTCATATCAAATGTAGATTCAAGCTGAAACACTTGACTTCTTGAGAAAACTGTCCTAGTTTTCTTTTTACGTCTATTTTTCTTTTCATCGTCCCCAGAATCTGAACAGTGGTCATCGTTATTTAACGATTTAGAAAGTACGTCAGATTCTTCTGTCTCCATGACAATGGGTGAGTGATTAGATGTTTCACGATCACTTCCGGTTTTTGTTTGGGCACTGTCAACAATAACATCATCGTCGTCTGAATCCGGTGACTGTAAACTGTGAACCGAGTCCGTATTCCAAGCTGAAATGGAAGGAGAAAAAAAATAGTTTTAAATTATCAATTGATTTGAATTTGTTTCCTTTAATAATGATATAAATAAGATATTCTATACTCAACATATATCTATTTTGTCTTATTTTTGAAGGATATCCATGTGGCAAGTTCATGTGTGGTCAAATTATAAACAAAAACACTGAACTTTTAAAGGTCGGTGAATGGTCGCTTTTTCCAGATCTTTACGACACCTTTGATGGTTATGGCCAGGTTTTTGATACAATAAGTACAATTGCATGAACACCAATAAAGTAACGTCTCGTGCCGTTACGCAATCAAGTGTCATATTGTCGTCATGAGCTGGTGTGATCACTTCCGGTATTAGACACCGTATAGGCAATATGTTACCACACATCTTATTCTTACGGATATTGTCATTTGTTTCTATTAAACATGTTTTTATCTCACTAAATAATATCAGTTTATAAAGGATAACCCTAATTCACAGTTCACAATGCCAGTGAATTAGTTTTACAGAAAAGCTTTTTCGTATCTTTGTTTTCTAAGATATTACTTTTTATTGTTAAAAAACGATATAATTACTACCTTTCAACACATACATTTTAGTTAAATTATAAAGTTAATACTGACATTAATCCAAATCCAAGAGTTATTAACATTTTGATTGGTGTATTTTCTTAAATATCAAGGATGGAAAGTTTGGTATACATTTACTTTTTCTTTTTCTTTCCTTTTTCGTCGAAAGTGCAACAATTTACATGATTTCAAAGTGAAGCCATAGGTTTTGAATATTGTAAGATCTGAAGCGTTTTACCACTTTATGGTTAAGTTTTCGCAGCAACAAATAATTTTCCCTTTAAATAAGTACATAGAGAACGCATACTCCGTGATATCTCAGTATATAAGTAATTATTTTCTTCGCCTTTCATGTTATGATTAAATGAGATCTTATAAGTTTTACGAAAAGGAAAATGTGTGTAAATGCGCTACAGTTAAAAAAAACACTTCATTTCATTGTCATTTTTATATACTTTCTTCATATATTGTTTGTTTAAATTCGTTAAAATTCAGTAGTAAATCTAATTTATAAAGACTTGATAAAGCAATACTATATTTATTCATTTGTATTTCAAGTACATGAACTTTATAATATACAAACTGTATAAAAACAATATTTTATCTTTATTTTACTTAATGATCTAATTATTACGAATACAAATGTGTCATTATGTTGCAACAATTTTATAACTAAAACCATATTGAAATCAAAATAAAAGAAACCCATATAATAAGTGAGACTTAATTCTAAATTACACATTTTTGACTTCAAAATTTCAAACTCTGACAAATGCGGTATTAGGGGGTGAAGACTGACTTGTATGAACCCCTGCTGTCCATGAGTCAATTCAATAAAGTCGAGCCGGCAACCTTTTCAGTTTTGGAGTGTTAGGTGTGCTTTAGAGTACCCACTTCACTTATTTTGTTTTTATAAATAGTGTTACAAAATTGGTTTCGAATTAATAATATGAAACAACACAGTATGAAGTTGTAAAAATAAATCACAGTCAGACGATTTAAGAGAAAAAAAGTCATAAAATTATCTGTCGGTATATTATATTAATAACTCTAATTACTAATGATTTGTATTTTTTGTGGATTATTCGGTGACTTAAGGTTTTAAAAGATATACATGTATAGCAAGTTTGTTTACTGAATTGGTAAATATTTGCATAAGACTAGATTGTATGCAGTTATTGTCAGGTGTCCAGAGATAAATGGCATGCTGGAGAGATGTAATTGTACATATTATATACCCCGTTAGTTTTTCCATATGGTATATGAATCAATATACTGTTTTAAATGGATCTATCTTCAAATTAAAGTAGCTATTTTCTTTTCCTACTTATTTGAAAATATGATTTTTTTTTCATTTATATAATGCAATAAAGTGATAAGCATTCTTGATAATAATTATATCACAGAAAAAGAGAGAAAATGAAACCCTAAAATCTACCAAAACGGCAAAATTGAAAATGTTTAAGGTTTGGCTGAGTCTTTTCATGGGCGATACTGACGTGCAAGCTACCGTAAACGCGCCCTAGCACCGGCTTTAGCAGAATTGAACATTTAACATGAAATGGAAAAAAATAGATACATCCACAAAGAAAAGTACATCCCCTTACAATAAAAATGAATCACTTCAAAAGTGATTTATGTTTAAGTCTATGGCCCACAAATGTTCATATTGTGAAAACGGAAGTGATCACGGTATAAAACTGATTTCACAGACACGTCAAACTTAGAGCTTAATCAGAAGAAGAAACAGAATACTTCATCATGTGAACTGAAAACATTTTGCCGACGTATTTGATAAAAAAAAATTATCTCGGGAATGAAATATCATTATAGATAAAATTTGATTTATTTTCTTTATTTGTATTAAGTAATTATTTGTCTACTAAACTGGCTCATAAATTTACCGCACTTAAATTATTTTACGATTTTCATTTACAATGTAGAAAACATTATTGAAAGAATATTAGTTATTTATATTTAGCTTTATATTTAAGTTTTGCTTCTTAGTTATGCTGCTCGGAGAGCAATTTTCTTGTCTTAATTCTTAACATATTTTGTGTTTATGACAAATGTTTATCACAAAAAATCAAACAAAGAGTTTTTGCGTGACAATGAAGCTTAGAGAAATCAGAAATTATCGCAGCGAGCTTGATAAAACTGCTTAAGTGAGATTTAAACGGGGTTACGATATTTAATTGTAATCTGGCCCCGTGCCGTTGGATTTACCGATTGAAACACAAGCAGGGGTCCAGAGAACGCCATTTTTGGAAGTCATAGAAGATGCGTCGAATCCAACCCACCAATTATTGTCTGTATTGTAAACAAGATAACGCGACTAATTTTCCACACTTATCAAGAAAGCGTAAAATGAGTTGATTTGTCCCGTCACGTATTCATCTTGTAATCAAGTACGCCACACGTGGTCCGCACGCGCGGTGCCCATGCGCATTGACCCGGAAGAAAGAGGTCACGTGATCACAAGCAATATGGCGCTGCGGGGAAGGCAGCTATTAACACTTGAAAGTATTGGCAAATTTGTCTTTATGGAAATAAAAACACATCTTTCCTGATATTGAAATGTTTAGATGAATTCTGGGAATTAATAAAACACCCACTTAAGTCGATTATTATCAAAGAAACAAATTATTTCAAGAGTTTTAAGGGCTCTTTTTCGCGGTGCATCAACTTTTGAAGGGTTTCTTTTCTGCAAATCGCTCTGCTCACAATTGGATTGTCGTGATAAGACTTCGCTAAATGGATCGCAAATTTCAAATTGTCTTCTTCAAGTACTCAAATGTAACCTCTACATGCATTATTGTGTAATACTGTTACTTTCAATAAAAGCATAACTTTTACATTTACAAGTCGTGTGACATCTATCTGCATTACTTGAAACAAGTGTTATAAGTAATTATTTTAATTAAGGGAAAATAAGCATGGGTTTTACTTAATGGAACATTTGCTGCCATGCGTTTTTGTCCTTCATGAAAACATTAATGGATGTGCAAACATTTTGCTTTCTTGAAGAGATATTAAATACATGTATGCATTTAAACCGAATATGAAAATATAGGCCACAAGTTATAAAAGTAGTGAATACTGTAAAGAATCCCGTTCATTAAATATTATCTGAATACCAGTTTCCATCGATGTAAAAGTGACTTCTAAATTGCAGTATATCTATTTCAATTTGATTTGTAAAAATCTGCAGGGTCATGATATTTAGCTTCAAAGCTATAGTATAAGTAACAAACAGAAACTAAGTTTTATATATTAATTTGAGAATCTAATTGACGGTGGATTAAACTATCTACGAAAACCACGAAAATTAATACAATACGAAAATAATGATTCAGTCATTTTACAATTAATGTCAGCCAGTCATAAAAGGTTTGTTTTTTTTAGACATTTTCGAGTATGCACTTATTCCTAACACCGAATCAGTTGTACAGCTTAAATCTATGATAAAAATTTACTATTTTGAAGTTATTCTATTTTTGAAATAACATATGCATAGACAGAAATGACACTAAGTATAAGTTGCAGGTAAAATATGAAAAATCAATACATGCGTAAGTTTTTTGACGAAATTGTTTAAATGTTACAGTAAAGTTATTTGTATTGCAAATGTAACCAATATATATGTATACCATATTATTTATGAAAAAAAGCAAAGTATAGAAAATGATATTATTAACTAGCCCAATCCGCGTTTAACTTATTTTATTGGTCAATGAATACTAATAAGTTGTTTTAATGAGCGGGTTGTTTTGGTTGGCATAATTATATATATTTACCATTCAAAAATCGGAAATGACCCATGTATAGTATATGCTTGTAAAATAGGATTAAAAGTGAACCAAACATTTTGAAATATTGTTATTTTGTGTGCATAAAACTGTGTGTTAAATCAAGGGTATATTATCAGCATATGTTTCTAATGGTAAAATGAGTCCATGATTTCCTTCGAAAATTTGTCAATGATGATGGTGATTAAGCATTTGAAAATGGTTGTTTAGAAGATATTTGATTTGATTAATCATTTATCAAAACAACTCAGCAAAACAGTTCAATGACCATTTAGAACTCAATTATGTTATTATATTTTCGTTTGAATTATGATCATATATAAGATAGTGCTATATTTTTTCAAGAGCAATGTTGCATTTTGAGTTCAAGTTTCTACGTTACTAGCTCTCGGTTTGTTGGTGGCAACTGAGTTTGCCCATGTGATGTTGTGATGCACATATGTGCTGTCTGATCATGGTCAGCACTGATCCTCATTCAGTCAGTATATATTTTGAAATGTTTTACTAAAAATGATGATTTTTTTGTCTCCAGATTTTAAGATGAAGATGGGCTAAACTATAAAATGTTGTTTTATAACCGTTACGAATATATTAAACAAAGGTTTAGTGCACGCTCATGTCTTTCTTTGTCGTATACTATTCTCATCGGACTATTAACATCGAAGTTATAAGCGCATGTTAATAAATCTTGGTCGATCTCTTAACGGATGGTAATTTGGTTAAATTATAAGATATCAAATTTGTATGTAAGATTAAGCAGTAATCATCAGTTGTTTTTCCTTTTAATATTTATAAAAATTGTGTGATTTCATCGCCCCTTCACATATATAATATTATAATGTACGTGTATATATGTGTTAATAAGTTCCAAATCAATAAAATATCTTTTCTGTCAAATTATATTTTTTTATGTTGACGAACATTTAGATATCTCTTGTTTCTTTCAACATAATTTGCCAAAAGACAAATATTTAACTCAAATTATCTATAGTACAAATACAACAATGTCATATTTGTGTCCAATTTGAATATATTTCTAACCTCTATTAATTGGTATCTATGTTTAAAGGCACATGATGTCTCAGAAATTCATATTTTTCTTAATCTTAAGGAATGTTTAAAATGTGTGTAATAGATCTTTTAATAACGGATTTAGAGCATGTAAGTTGTATAACAACTTACGAAAATAGCGCTAAATGTGCAGTAATGTGTCTGAAAGATAGCAAAATGTAAACATAGTAGTACATATAGTACGTGTATTTTGACTTCCCTACAAAATAATAATTCTATAACAAAACCAATTGCCAACAGAGCATAAGAAGTAAAGGCTAGTTAATATATATGAGTATTTTTATACAGTTACAAAATACCAAAAGTAAAATGATTTTGGAAACAAAGAATGATTTCATTTCCGAGGCATAATGGGCCTTTAAATGAGAATATTCTATATTTCAGTGTTTTGTGATTTTGTATAGGCGTTAATGTACTGAGCTGATAAGTCGAAATTATTTTTGCCCATTGAGATAGTTCTATTTTTCAAAGTATGTAGTACATTTAGTGTACTTAATGTGAACCAATTTGTCATTTAACACTATATCTTCAAATATGCGCATCATACCCGCTCTGTGTAAATATTTGAATCATAATTGCAACCACTAATTATGCTAGTGTTTGCTTTATTATTTGTATTAAATCTGGCCACATGAATGCCCAGGCAGATTGAAATTTCATAAATGATGACTAAAAAACACTCACCTTTACCTGATAAAGGCTAACAACTTTTCTTAAATTACCTAAATGTAATGTATATTAATTTCAAAAATGTATAAATTTTACTTTTTGTTTATGATTAACTTAAGATTGTTAATTTTCAAATTTAAGCTTTATATCTAGGGTCAGATGAAATTAAACAACTTAAATTTTCAATTCGTCTTAAGTTTATTTAATTATCATCAAAGTTTTGTAACAAATGACTGACAATGAGTTTTCTTCTTGTCTTTATTCTACAAATGATATTATATTACTAGACCTAGAACAAGTATTAATAATTTGTACATGTACAAGTATATTTTATGTTAATTTCTAGTCGTTAAAATATATGCTGAAATGTTGAATCGACTAAAGTATACTCAGCACTATATACATTTTTCTACATGTATCAACTGAATCAGTAACATTAATCGGTAAGACTTGAAAAAAAATATGTGATGAAATAAAAACATAATATGTTGCCCAAATTACAACTTGCGTATTAATTTATACAGATGGGGAAGGATATATAACATTATGTCGGGGATTCTTTTTTTAATATTTAGTGTTTGAAATTATCTTATGTCCAATAGGATTGCAGTATTTCAAATGAATCGTAACACATTCGCTACATTAAGTAAACCGGCTAATTTTAAATCAGTCTAGTAAATCGACTGTTAATAAATATAATTTTAAACACTAAAATGGTAAGTGTTCATTCTTGACAAATTTTGTAAATGCTTACTAATAAACACTCGTATTTATAACAGGTGCTCGTTTACCTGACTTTATGCTAGACGCATAGAAATATGCAGTCATATAAAGCCCTGATTGCATCTAGATATTTTATATTTTGCTAATATTGTGTCGGCTGATATATCTAATTAGAGTCAAAATAAATGCTTAAAGTGTCAGTAGCTTATTTCGGATAAAAATCTATTCTATTTTACAAAATTCAGTATAATTATATATCGGCAGAAAACATATATTTATTCCCTTTTCTAATGTAATGTTTTAGCACCAAATCATTACGCTGCAGCATTTGTTAATATGCTATATATCTGACAGGCAGTTTTTATAAATCTTTCATTCCAGAATATTGTTATAGTAATGATACATGTATATTTTGTCTAACACTTTTTTTCTATTTACATTTTTTTAATTAACATCAAGAACATATGAGCACGAAAATTCCAAAACCAAAGTAAAAGAAAAAAGTAGTGTACAAGGTGCGGTCGATTTTAAACTAGACGCTTTGTCACATATATATGTACGGAAAAAGTGAAAAGGAACTTAACAGGTGGAAGAAAAAATATATGCAAAATCACTTCGATTATATTCCCGATATTTGTTGATTGAATATTGATTAACATCATTCTAAAAAACTGAAGAAAATCAGAAAAATATATAATCTTATTGACAATAAGATTGATCAAATATTAAATTTAATTTAATTTGTTTCCCCAGTGCTTGTGTTTCCATATATTTTTGTTATAAATTTCTCCGATATATATCCTACATTCTTCTCCATCCAAAAAGAAGTCTAATGTTTCAATGACGTATATGAATTGTTATATAAATTATTTTGAATTGTATGCAATTCTTAACATAGGAATACGCAGATGTCATAATGGTATAATCGCTAAAATACGCACAATGTCAAATATTGAAGCACCTCATTCACAAATTACATTATTTTTTTTTACGTTAAATTTTAAAGCGGAAGTTGAACACGTAAGTTTAAATGACACGCATGCTTTAAAACGTAATTCATATCCGCTTCTTTAAGATAAACGTATTTTCTGTTCGTTTGATTAGTGGATTTAAATACAAGTAGTATTATATTATTAAAAAATCAATTGAGAACTAAATTGTCATATTACATATATATGTTATATGATAAAAATATTTTTATATGATATAATCATTTTATATGATACAAGCATTTCATATGATTAAATATCCTTATAAATGCATTTTAACATACCATAAAAATAGTTTAAGATTTCTATTTGTTTAATAAGGAATAGTTTTTTTTATAATGTCAAAATCCTTAAATGTAAATTACAAAAATAAAAATTCAATGAATAAAATAAAATAAAACAAATACGGTACAATAACTGTATGACATTTAAGGATTTATCGAAACATACTTACATACTATTTTGTTTCGAAAAACAATTAATAAAATGTATATTTTTATGTTAAAGTAATATTTTTATTTATACATAAAGATAGAGTAACTAATTTGCATAATTAAGAATCTTTAACGTCATGTATGCGTTAGATATATTAATAAGTTCCGCCATTTTATTTAGATATACTTACATTTACGGTGATTTTGTTGCCACGACTGTAAATTTTGTTGACTGGCATACCAATGGTACCATGCCGGCAGATGTCCTAACGGCAAGAGTCCGCCGTCGCCGGAACGCTGGAACCCTGGGAAACCTTTCGGCAATGCCGTCGGGAACATTGGAAAGTCTATTTTCGACACAACAGCCGGCACATCCTCATCTGTCTTACTACCGTCATCTTCAGATGTCTTATCGCCATTATCAAAAACACTTTTTTCTTTCTCTTTCTCTTTTTCTACCCGTGCTAAAATACTGTTTATAGAAAAAGATTTTGTCGCCGGCTTGTCTTCTCTTTTAGGCGTACTAGGAGACGTTTCTTTAGAAGTGGCTTCCTCCGACATTTTGAATCATACAGTTTAAATAACTTGTTAAAAAAAACAACAAATTATTTGATTTTTTTTCTAAATTTAAACTAAACAATTAGATCAAATTTTTTGACCAAATAGAAACACTTTTCTTTCTTGTTTTCCTATGGTTCTAAATGCCAAAAGACTACTGTTTTCAATGGAACATTAACCTTTGCAGTTTCATTTATATCAAATTTATCCAATTAATCATGATTGAGAAGCATATTTTCACAGTTTCTATTCTTTTCCTGAATGTTTCGATAAAAAAATCACTCTGTATCATCTAAATCACTTCTGGACAAAACTATCTAAAACAGACATCGAAATTGTTCCACACTCATTCCTATTAGCACAGCAATTCTTTCAGCAATATTAGCAGCTTTTTCACAATCAAACAAAATCTCTATTGCCCATTTCTCAATTACAAATATGTTTGCATAATGAGCCAAGACAAATATTTGTGCGATTACAATTCCGCGAGTTGACTTTTTCCGCAAAGCTCCGCCTTTCGCTAATTTGGTATTGATTGAAACGATGCAATATCTTTTATCATTGGCCGCTCAGAGAAAAAGAAATCCAATCGTCTGAAATGACTGCGATTTCTGTGGAAACAGCTATTCATGGCATCAGGTCTTGTGGTGAAGTTTCTAATAGAAAATAATCAATTCAACGAGGCATTCTTTTGTCTATTCAAATGTTTAAACGAACAACTATTATTTTCTTAAATTAACATCCGATCTAAAGTAATATTTTTGGTGATCCGTTATGGGCAGTAAAGAAAATTGCAAATCGGGCATAAAATAAGTTATAATTTAGGGGCATCTAATCTTTTCAATCAACAGTCACGGGTGCCCTATTGTAGTTCGGCCCCTCCCCACAGGTTGATGCGCATTCATTAGCTCTAATTACAGCAATAAACAGACGTCTTGACGAGAGAGACAAAAAGATCGCAATGCGCATGTCCCAATTCGGATACCTTCACCTGCCTTCTAACTTCTCTACTGCTCGCTTTTGGCACGTGAGCTCCATCGAGTGCCCGAACAAATTACCGTCTCTGTGTTTATCACCCGCGAAGACAGACTTAAGTTAATTTTCATCTTTGAAAATACGGCACTACGTCCTGTTTAGCAAAAATTTGAGAGAGAATGGATGTTACATAGAATAATAGCACCAGCTCTTACGGTTCGTTGCCAATGATTTGTCACCTTACAGGGAGGTGATCTTGATCAAGCGTGCTAAATACCCGAATGAAACCAGGCAATTGTCGCCGAACTCCAGCATAGAAAACAACATATCAAACTGCGCCAGGACAATGATTGGGGTAGAGTGACTTTATGCGATTAATTGGCGCTTCGTATTTAATTTTACGTCACATCTGTTGAAAAAGAAAATAGGTGTCAATTTAGAAACATTTAGAGTAAACGGGTTTGTACAATATCTGCAGATTTTAGTTTTGATCACTTCAATGAAAGCGCTGACACGGGTAATTTTCGTGTCAAATAAAAACAACATGAGATGGGAAACAATATGGGGTTAAACTTTCAAATTTCACGTTCGGGATGATTTTTTCTTTCAAAAAAAAAGGTTTCCATTTTAATGTCAGAGCATATTAACACAAGTTTTCATGTCATAGAAATTTTGAAAATGACATTTATTTGGAACGAAATTAAATGAGACTTAAGTTTACACACGTGAAACACAAGATCAACATGTTAAAATAATGATTTTAGATCGTAAAACTTCAAAAGGAACAATTTTTATTCGAAAAACTAGTATTTTCATGATACTAGGCTGAAGAATACTAAACAATAAAACATGACTTTTTTCTGTAGTTAAACACTATTAAATACATTGATGAATTTATGAATGCAATTGATGAATTTATGACAATAATCTAAATTAAAGCCAGTGTATGTAATTTTATGTCTTTGAGTTAAATAAACTAAAAGCAAAACAAAGCAAACAAACAAAAAAACAATAAAAAAAAGAACAACAAAAAAAAAAAACGGAAAATTTAAAATATAAAAAATGCTGTATACATGTCTCCATTAAATTCAAAACATTACCGACATCATATATTAGATTTAATTCGTTTTCTCTCTTTTTATTTTCGGTCACTGAAGTTCATTTGTATTTTTGTTTGTTTTCCGGCGTTCGTTTATTTTTGATTCATTATTATTGCCAGCTATATTTCATTATTATTTCATAAATGCATTATTTCATTCATTCATTCATTAATTTATTAATTCATCCATTCATTCATTCATTCATTCATCCACCCATTCATTCATTCATTCATTCATTCATTCATTCATTCATTCATTCATTCATTCATTCATTCATTTATTCATTCATTCATTCATTCATTCATTCATTCATTCATTCATTCATTCATGCATTCATTCATTCATTCATTCATTCATAATATGTTGATGACGTATTTCACATTTTTATTTTATTCATTATTTTATTCATTACTTTTTTATTATTTCTTTTTCAAAACAATCTTAACATTTATTGAATGTTATTCATTATTCTTTTTCTGTTTTAACTTTCTCATATTTTTCAAGCTAATTATTCAATTTGTTTACGCAAGACAGAAAAAAGGGACCGCACCTCTTGTCGTAATTATTGGTTTAAAATATAATCATTTTAAGGATTGTTTCTAAAATTCTAAGCTTGTTGACGTTTTAATAAAGAAAAATCTCTACTCAAAAAATAAACCTGTTTGGCAACGTTTTGTCTTTTCTTAAGTTTTTTAGCCATATATTTAGCGTCTATATAATTTTCTGCAATTTGAAACAAAACCCTCTCGTAGAATCTCGTCTTTTCACTCTGTCATTATTTCGTTATCGGGCCCGTGGATCTGTAATTGTTTCTTGTTTTCTACAGTCTAAAATAATTCGATACAATCTGCTTCTCCCTAATTGGTGACAAATTACATGGTTTTCTATTTTTATTTAAAACTTGCCTTTCTCTTATTGTAGCGAATTGCGTGCGATATAATCTCGTGTCAGACGAGATTTCAAAGAGGCACGCGCCAATTCGCGCTAAAAGGTAATGAATTATCTGTGGTATTCAATACTTCTTGTCAGGTATTCAAATTCGTTTCCTCGCTTTGCTGAATTAATTCAATAACTATTTAATTAAAACTTTCCTCCATTCACATCTGAATGTATCAGTAGTTACCACAAATGTCCGTCTTTCGCCGTTCCGTTTCCGTACTACAGAATTTATTCATTTACCTGAATACGACTTAATTTATACGATCGTTAAATATTTTCACACCATTTATTCTGTAAATGTGACGTACCGCAAAATCTTACAAATCAAGCAAGTTCTCTGATTCAAATACAACTAACTTCCGGAGCCACAACACAAGTATAAAAACACAACTTTTAAAGACTTTTTATAAAAAAAATAATGATCAAATATTATATTTATTCCAATCACAATGACGATCACCAAAAGAAAAAAATATGAATCGCTTCTGACAATTGTTTTATCATCATCGTCATCATCATCGTTATCATCATTATAATCATCACCCCTCATCATCATCATCATCGTCGTCGTCGTCATCATCATCATCATCATCATCATCATCATCATCATCATTATCATTATCATTGTTATTGTTTTGCTTATTTTAATTATTATAATAATAATTATTGTTATTATTGTTATTAATATTATTATATATAATATAATATAATATAATAATAATGATGTTAATAATATTAATATTGATAATAATAATAATAATTATTATTATTATTATTAATATTCTTATTATTATTATTATTTTTCTTATTATTATTATTATTATTATTATTATTATTTCCAGAAAGTATATTAGAAAAAAAGGAAGAATTATATACAGAGTAACAAAAATTTACATAATGTAAAGGACTGATAAATAAGCACAAACTCGAAGTTAAATTAGTTACACCAAGGAATATTTTACATTTCTACCTTACATATTTTAACCTCTGTAAAAGGTACCTCAAATATGATTTACGAAAGTAAATTAAAAAAAAACATTTTGATTATAGTTATTCTCTGTGTTCAGCCTTTAATTAAGTGTTAGACTTGGATCAAATGTGATGAACAGATTAGCGGAAGTTACAGGTGTTGACGAAATAAGACCGCACACAGCCAATCCAAACACCTCGCCGTATATACATTGTATTTTACCGTTTAAGTATGGCGGAAATAGCCGAAAAGTTGCGAATGCGTTAACAGCTTGCGTTTATTTATTCACGTCACATATGTGCGAGCATATACTTTATTTGTAACTGGGATCAAACTTTAAATGCATTTTGTTTAAGTGTTTGTTTTTCTGTGTTAAATCTTATATACATGAAATAACTCATTTTCATCTTTAAGGTTCGGAAAAAAGAAAGTTTGCTGTTTTTTTATTAGGTTTTAATGGATCAGCATTGATATTCAAATACCATCATGAAACATTCGGCATTTGACAGTTGAAGCTTTGCGTTTAACCTAATAACAAGTTTATCGATACAGAGTCAGCGATTCTTTGACAATATGTTGTTTTGTCATAAGGTCAAGGTCAAGTCTTTTGACCCAACCCTTTGCCGCATTTTGAACGTGAATTATATCTAGCATGGTCTTTCAATTTGAAAGTCACTGTATCTAGTTGTAATCGAATGTAATTGTTTCAATAAAATATACTAGTAATTTAATTAAGCTTAAAAATGCGTAATAATTCGTACTTAAGTTCAGTTATTTATGTTTTTTTTTTCTTTATAAAAAGAATTAATAATAAGTATTTTCAAGCGGTAAACGTTCACTTAACTTCTCATTGTTTCCAATTTGAGTTGTTTCCCCTCGTATATAAAATTCTATATACTAAGACGATACGAGTCGCCAATATTAACTTGAAATAAATACAGCGACAGAATAATTGACATTTCCTGAAAAAAAAGTTTGAACATTTCTTTTTCGTTTTTTTATCTCTTTTCTGGTTTTAATTTAACAGAAATTATCGCTGTGGAATATATAAAAACTAATAAATGGACTGTTGCAATTTTTTTTAAGTTAAACTGACATTAAGTTCATCCAAGTATATTTACGAGTATATAATGAGTGCAACGGTGAGTTTATGTAAGTTGACACTTTGCCATAATTCTTATATATATTTTTAACTTGTATTGAAGGTATAATAAACAACTCACGTGGCCAAAGAAAAGTTCAATAAATATCTATCGGAATTTACTGAGTATTGTTCAGTTTATTAAAAGAATGGGACAGTCTTTGTATATTTTAGATATATTTTTAGTTTATACTAAACATTTTCCAATATCAACTGTTGGTCAATCACCGTTTTAACAAACAATTTTTTGAAATGTTAAGTAAATTTAGTTCAACTTGTCTATGAGCATAATGTAACTTTAAATTGCTTTGCGCATACATGTATGTTACGCTAAGCAAAAAATGATTGTATTTGAATTCCTCTTTTTGGAAATTGAAACGAACAAAAATTCAAACAGAACATAATTTTTTGTAATGACGCTATCTTTATGATAAGGTTTACTTAAATTCAAGTCAAAAGACCGATAATTATGAACTATTAAATATCTTGTCCTTAAATTCATTGTATTATCTTCCCTTTATTTTAACACAAAATTATTTTGTTTATCTTTTATTTTTCAGATCAAAAATTATGGTTTTCTATTTAAACAGTTGGTTAAAATGCACCAAACAGCTACCAGTTACTGGTTGATGTTGTTCTTCTGTTTTCGTTATTTTTTATTGTTGTTGTTGTTGTTGTCAATTTGCACAAATTGAAAGTTTATGATTTCATGACCATATGAAAGTAAATATATTTTCTTGTTGTAAATGCGTGTTGAAACCTATGTTAAATATAATGATATAAGAGCTATAGAATATTTTAACTGCCGCGGTCTATAAGAATTATACCCAGTTTTTAGATGGTAAAACTTTGTTGGGGTTGATAAACATATTGAATAAAGGTATGTTATACCATATTAAAATGTTGGGTAGGGCTAGGATGGTACGTTACTATTATTGCTTAAAATTACATCTATTCTGTTTTTGGAAAATCGCTATAGTTAGTGTATTTCTCCGACCTTATGCGTCTTTCAGAAGAAAAAAAACGGCGGAAAATGCGCCATCTAAAACAATATGTCTTGATGAAACTAAGTAGGCGTCTGCA